TGCACATCACTCTTTTATTTATTTAATTTTTGAGATATTAACAAACAACTAATGTAATTAAAAAAAAAATTCCCCAAGTCTATAAATACAATTTTTATCTATTAAATATGAGTTGGAGGTGAATTACTCCTCAAGTATTCTTAATAATATTAAATACGAGTTGGAGGTGAATTACTCCTCAAGTATCCTTCATAAAATTGCACAAATACAACATCACAAGTTTAAATACAACATCACAAGTTTACATAGAACAGTAGAGGTGCATGTCTTGGTTAAATTAAAATAGAGAAAAAGATGTATATGAGGTGTGTCATGTACAATCATGAAGTTCAATTTTACATAACCAACGCAAAACACAGGTATGAGAGAAATGACTTCATCTAGCATTGGCTGCATACGACGCCACATTGATCCCGCAATTTGGTTTTTGGTTTCTATAAGCCGCCATTTCTATAGTACAATCAGCAGATAAGTGCTACCATTCTCCTCACCAACAAGATCAACATCTATTGTTGTTCAATCTGAATTAGCTATTCAAGAGCAAATGGAAAGGAAGATCATGATCACTGCAACTAGTAAAAAAGATATATCAAAGTCAAGTCTAAAAAGTAGAATCAATTGAGCACAAAGGAGAAGGTGGACTCTATCAGGACTTTATTAGGACTACAAAAAAAAAAAAAATTATATGGGCTGATTTTAAAATATAATGATTTATGTTTTTTTATATATAATATATATATATATATAAGAGTCTGCTCACGAGCTTACAAATAAAACTTTTTATTGTTCAAGCTCGGCTCATTTACTAAACAAACTTGAAAATTGATCTTGAACTTAGCTCATTTATTAAACCAACAAATCCGAACTAAATTTTTAATAAGCCGAACTAGAATTATTCATAAACAACTCGAATCATTTGGGGCCTAACTAAGAGATGTATTTTGCTTTTTCCTCGGCGCAGTGCTCCAGCCAAGCATTCCATTTTGAACTACTAAACTAATCAAGCACGGGGACACTCAAAATTTGAAACCATCACTGTGTATGGTAGTAAGTGGAATCGTCGGATGAAGTGATAGAGAATGAAAGTGGCTCGTTCGTAAATTTTAACAGCTTTAAAGGCCTTACATAAAGATGGTGGCAACATATTCAAAGATTTAAGCCACTTGCCTATCTGCATTTTGTTCTACTATGCTTTCTTTAAGATAAATTAAAGCTCGATTTCTTTAAGATAAAAATAATAAATAATGCAGCCATGTTAAAAACTAAGTACGAAATGCCCTCTAATATCCATCCAAAGGTTTAATCTTCTATTCACAATCTTTTTCCATTATTTTTCCTACCTTTAAGAGCTTTCTACACATTTACACCATAATATTGAAAACTGAGATCATTTAGAAGAAAGTCTTTGAACTCTCAGGAATACCCATTCCAAGTATGAGCTACAGATTAAGCAATTTGAATTGTTCTGTATTCAACTACCACTATGCAAGACAAACTCAAAATCTTCAAAGTATTTAAAAACTATATAAATAATAATAATAAACTTCCCTCAACTACTACGGTGTTGCAAGAAATCCCCAAAAAAAAAAAAAAAAAAAACCTTTCAATTATGTTTTTGTTTCAACTTATCCCACCAACTCACTTTTCGGTTCCGGAAAAGTCAAAAGACCACGGTAACTTTTTTATAAAAAATACAATTTTAATTTTTTTTAAAAGGTAAGTAATGCAATTTTAATCTTGAATCAATTAGTGTAAACCATTAAGTGTCATCACGTGTCTAACACCGCTCCCTTCTCTCTAAACCTCTCCCTTATCAATCATTTAAAATAGGGTTATCATTTAATATAGGGTTATTTGATGCATTAACTTATATCTATACATATACGATGCTATATCTATATATCTCCATCACCACCTTTATTGCCGCTGTTGACCATTGCAAGTCGCAGTGGCCGCTGCCGCAGATCTACGGCAAGAAAACCCACCAGCAGCCAAATTACGTCACCACCACCGTTCCGCTCCCAATCACCAACAACAATCCTATATTCCGGCGAATTAACCACCACCACTTGTGCCGTCACCACCGCCATCCTTACCTGCAACCACTGCCTCAGACCGTCACCGCAGCAGCCGCTGCAGATCGTATAGGAGAATGACTAGCACATCTACACAACAAAACCACCACACCCAAATCGGCATTGCCAGCACATCCACACAACAAAACCAAACACAGCCAAATTGGTGTCGCCACCACATCTACACAACAAAATCCACCACAACCAAATCGGCGTCGCCACCACCATTGCTGCTCCAAAACCACCAGCAACAGCACTATATTCCGGCGAACTAACCACCGTCGCCATCCTCACCCTACAGTAGCCGCCACATTCCCATAAGCATCACCACCAAAAACTCCCCAGCAGACAGTGATTCCCCCGACGGTTATGAGAAAGAGGAAAAGTTGAGAGAGACGATCGGGACTTGAGTAGTGGGTTGACAAGTGGGAGCCGAATTATGCTTTCAGGTAGTCGATTTAGGATTGAAGGCAACTGAGGTGGTGGTGGTGGTGTTTGGGTGTGAAGGCAACTGAATTGGTGGTGTTTGGGTATGCGGGTAACAAAAAGGATATCATTGTCCTTCAATATTCAAAAGGGCACTATAGTCATATAAATGCAAGCTGCGCATCACGTGACAACACATGATTTTTTAACTGCGAAGCATTGCCGGATGGGACAATCTATCAAAAAAAAAAAAAAAACAAAAAGAAGAGTAACTTTAGGAGGTTTATTGCAATTTTTGTAATTCAAGGTGATTTATTACAATTTTTGTAATTAAAGGTGATTTATTGCAAATTGACTAATAGTTCAAGAGTATTAGTACTAATGTGGTGACTAGTGGGCTTTCATTATATAATTCAAGAATTATTACTAGTATTTTATGAGTTGCTAACTAATATCATATCTTTGATTGAAAAATTATGGTAAATGAAGTACTAACTTTGATTCTTTACAATTCTAAAGTAGAATGGCCAAGCCATATGAAATCATTTGAATTTTGTATGTTAACCCATTAATCCATAAATGAACAATTTATAGAAATTTGAATCCCTCGTTAGCATGCCAATTAGGTAATATAGATGTCTCTATCAGTTTTTTTTTTTTGGGCCAAATTTTATTAACAAAACAAAACCAACGCACAATTTTATCCATAAATGCCTCGGATTTTGCACATAATTTAGATATAGGTAAAAGGTGAAAATCAAATATATGTAGAGGCCAAGTGATTTTGGATGCTAACACAGGCTCTCCTCCCTCAATTGTGAATGTGGAAAGGGAGGGAGCATGATTATCATTATACATTTTGTAAATGCGTAGACAATGTTGCTTATCATTGCGGGATTCTTTGAAAAACGTTTCCCTCAGCACTTTCAGTTACCACCGGCATGAATAGAATGCTAAATTGTATGTGTAACTTGATGCTATTGCCAACTAATATTATTTGGTTCAACCGATCAGGTTTTGTGAGATGAGCATTCTTATGCTGGTTGATTTACTGTGTGTGTGATATTAGTGGGAGGTTCCTATTACACATCTTCGGCCAATTTTGCTACTGTTCTAAACAAAACCATCTCTATCTACAGGTGTGTCTGTGACTTCTTATTGCATTGGAGGGACAATACATTGCGCCCATTTCTCTCTCTAAAAGTACAAATTGTCCCTCTGTTTTTCTTTTACTGAAAAGTTAAAAATGCCTGCTGCGTGGCATCAGAAAATCACATGCCTCTTGACCAGTCAATTTTAAAGTTCATTGGGTGAAAAGACCCGTGTAGCCTTTCATCCTACTTTAAAATACAACCATTTCACCCCCTTCAGACTATAGATCTCTTTCATTTCCTCCATTTCTTTCACCTCTCTCCCTCTCTCTCTCTAAAACTTGGAGGCAAACCCATCAACAAAACCCTTTCTCCTATCTCTCCCCCCCTCTCTCTCTCTAAAATTGTCCCTCTTTTTTTCACCTTCTGATCAGGAGACAAAACCACCATCTTTTGCTCTCTCTCTCTCTCTCTCTCTCTCCATAATCGTGTTCAACTGGTAAGTATCTCTTCTTGGATGCCTTTAGTTCATTTTTATTTTATATGATTTTCTTGCATAATCACAACTCCATATTAGCATTTTATCTCTTCGATCTGTTTGTTACATGTGGTATGTATTACACAAAATTAATTAATTTCCTTTTTTCTTATTTTCTTGGCATATACATTTTTGTTACTAAACTTCTTCAAATCCAAGTGTTTTTGTTTCTTTGAATTAATATTCATCTTTGCAACCTATTTTGTGATTTTAACATTTCTCAACTCCAAACCTTAACTGACTGATTATTTTTTTTTTTAGCTATTTAAGTTCATATAGTTCATCTTGTCTCACAAAATTTTGATGTGGACAAAGTCTATTCGACGCTAATTCGGTTTATTTCTTATAAGAGGATAATTAATGGCGTGGGTAGTTTCGGAAAAGGCATATATATAATTTGTTTGTTAAACCTAAATGAAGGCCCAAGTCAAATAAGTCCAGGGCCGACCCTGACCAAAGGTGACAAAGGCGGTCGGCCCATGGTTGATGGGTCAACAAAAAAACAAAATATCTTTAGGGCAAATCAGTTCAGCCTCCATCTCTATTCTCGTTCTCGACTCTGAACCTGCCCTCTCTCTCTCTCTCTGCAACTGCAAACTAGAAAATCTACAAGAATCGGAAGTTCAAAAGGCCATATATTTCAGTTTATCTATCTGTCTGCAAGAATCAAAAGTTCAAAACCTATTATTACCTATATCAAAACCCATATCGGCATATCATTTCAGATTGTTCAAAAAATCAAAACCCATATCTTTCAGTTTCCATCGCCCGCTGTTCCAGTTCGGGTTCGCCGTTCGCAAGCTTCAGCCGCTGTCTCTCAACTCTCAAGCTTGCTCCCCTCTCTCTCTCTGCAACTGCGAACTTGTATGTATGGGTTTTGTTTTAATTTTTTTTTCTAAATCAACTAATCAAGGTCTGTAATTCTTGTTTTGCAAACTAAATCCTATTTAGTGAAATTTTTTATGATCTTTTTTAAATATATTTTTCATTTTTAACAAAATTTGCATTGTATTTTGAGGTAATTACCGTAATCTACCTATTATTTCAGCAAAACAATTATTTTTTTAAAAATATTTCTGTAACTTCTATTTCTGTGGTTTTTTGTTGTTGTTGTTGTTGTCAATTATGCGTACAAGAAAATTTGAATCTGGGCATGAAAAGGAAAAAAAAAAAGAATCTGAATTGGATTAGAAATCTGCAGAGATTGAATCTGAAACAATTTTTATCAACATGCCAAGCTTTTTGAAGATGGAAATCTTTTCAGAACTAAAAAAAATTCATAACAAGAACTTTGGTGATAAATTATTGTACTTTGTGAGATTGAAAACTCCAAAAACGGAATCAGATTCAAATCAGCAAAATCCTGTAATTCCAGTACCAAATCTGCTTTTTGACCGATAATTTGACCAGACCTGCTTTTTGACAGGTAAATTTGACCAAACCTGCTTTTTAAGGCAAATCATTTCAGCCTCCCCAATCGCCTCCATCTCTATTCTCGTTCTCAACTCTGAACTTCCTCTCTCTCTCTCCCTCTCTCTCCCTCTCTCTCTCTCTCTCTCTCTCTCTCTCTCTCGGCAACTGCAAACTACAAAATCTACAAGAATCAGAAGTTAAAACCCCATGTATTTCAGTTTAAGAATCAAAAGTTCAAAACCTATTACCTATATCAAAACCCATAACGGCATATCATTTCAGATTGTTCAGAAAATCAAAACCCATATCTTTCAGTTTCCATTGCCTGCTGTTCCAGTTCGGGTTCGCCGTTCGCTGTTCGCAAGCTTCAGCCGCAGTCTCTCAACTCTCAAGCTTGCCTCCCTCTCTCTCTCTCTCTCTGCAACTGCTAACTTGTATGTATGGGGTTTTGTTTTAATTTTTTTTTCTAAATCAACTAATCAAGGTCTTTAATTCTTGTTTTGCAAAATAAATCCTATTTGGTGAAATTTTTTATGATCGTTTTTAAATAATTTATATTTTTTTACAATATAAAGTAACAAATTTTGCATTGCATTTTGAGGTAATCACGTTATCTACATTTTATTTCAGCAAAACAATTTTTTTTTTTTTCTTTGGTGTCAATTATGTCTACAAGGAAATTTGAATCTGGGCATGAAAAAAGGAAAAAAAAAAAAAAAAAAAAAAAGAATCTGAATTGGATTAGAAATCTGCAGAGATTGAATCTGAAACAATTTTTATCAACATGCCAAGCTTTTTGAAGATGGAAATCTTTTCAGAACTTAAAAAAAAAAAAAATCATAAGAAGAACTTTCACAAGAAAAAGTACTTAATATAGGGTAAAACTCTAAAGTTACATCTTGAAAATTAAAGTACATACAAAAAGCATGCTTTTGAGTGAATTCCATAGTGTTATTGGAAGGGATTTGCCATGAACTACCTCACACTCTGCTTCCACTAGTAGATTCTCAAATAGGATTGGTAAATTCGTCAAAAGAAGAGATAGGGTATTGAGTGGTGAATTGTTCAGAAATAAATTGGTAATTTTTTTTATTAATTACCCAAATAGGATTTTCTATGCCTTAATCAGTTAATTGTCTAAAGAAACATTGTTAGTTAATATTTTGGTTGATATATTTTGATTTAGCTCACCCCATTGAGAAATCTTGGATGTTTTGTTTCGCATAGAAATACAATCTGTGTAATGCACCAAGGATATATTCAATCTTTCTGTCATATTTTTATTTTCAAATTTTGGTTTTTTATTTTCTTTTGCTATTAGAATGCAGAATATTAGGATATTGATTTGTTATTTGAAGATTATTCCTAAACTGATGCATTGTATTTTGTTATTGGATTAATTTAATGTAAGAACTAAGTATAATATGTGCTAATCACACCTATCCGCAATCACACCTCTTTCTACGGATAGGTGTCCAACATTTTGACTGAAAGCATAGTTGGGTTAGGTTGATATATGATACAGATAATACTTAGATGGTAGTGTTTTAAGTGTTATGAGTGAGATTGTGAAACCTCTTCCTAACAACTTGGGTGTTTTCTTATTTTTAGGGTTAGCATCGGGCTTTAACATTTAGTAAGAACAAGGTTCAAGAAACATGTCTCCTCAGTCATCAGGTAACAAACTCTTACTTTTTTTAAAATTTTAATTGGCATTTTTAGCTATTGGTTACGTTTATTTATTCATGTTTTACATACTGATTTTTTGTTTTTATTTTTGTTTCTACATACATATATATAATATCGTTATGATGTGATGCTCGAACAATTTATTAATGGGAATTAAAGACTTGGAAGTTTAATTTTTAATTTCAGAATATATGTTTTACAAGTTTAGTAACGCTTTTAAAACTTTTCCTCTTTTGTCCTGATAATATAGGTCTCTTTTATGAAAGAAGAGAGTTGATTGGGAATGGGTGGAGTTGGCAAAAAGAAGATAGGTATGTTTTTTTTTTGCGAGATGGGTATGTGCATCTATATATATGTTTATTTAAGTTTATTCTTGTAATTTTTTAACTAAAATTAGCTGATATCAGCTGCTGCCATAATGTTGAAGCTCCGACGCCTGTACCGGAAGTCGGTGAGGATAATGTTGAACCACTGATGCCTGTACTGGAAGGCAACAAGGATAATGTTGAAGCCCATTCAGGTATGTAGAATTAAGAGAGGGGTTAAAATTTATGGATTCTTTACATAAATTTTCTTTTTAATTTAGGTAGTAATGAAAGATGGACCACAAACTCTTGCGGTGGGTAAGATTTCCTTTAACATAGTCATACCAAATGGATTGCCCTTTGTCAATGAACAAATTCAGAATGTGTCTGAGCATAGATACTCTATTGAGAGTAGGAAGCTTTGGCAGCCCAACACCTCCATAATCCTTAGGTCTACATAATTCAAACCGAGCTACCTTAGCACTTGTAGCTCTAAGGTTAAACTCCAGCCCAAAGAAAACTCCTCAACATTCCATCAATCTGATTAATAACCATTTTAGTCAGTAAGAAGAAGCTGTTCCAGTATCCCACAATACTAAGTAAGATAGATTTGATGAGTTGCAGGCGCCCTGCATAAGAAAGGAATTTGGATGTCCAGCACTTAATCCTTGCTGTGATTTTCTCCACAACGGCCCCACGGTCAGTAGCCTTGAGTCTGGTAGAAATTAGAGGCAGCCCTAGTTATCTCTGATTGGGAGATCACCAATCTCAAACTCACACCCCATGGCTAAGCATGTTTGAGTTTCAATAGGAATACCAGCAGTAAGGATAAGACTTTTTGAAGGGCTAGGAGACAACCCAGAAAGAGAAGAAAATAACTAAAGAGCCTCTGTAAGAACAGCAAGGGAAGCCGCATCACCATGACAAAAAAGCACCAGCTCATCAGCAAATGAAATATGAGAAATCCTGCTTCTAGTACACTTCGAGTGAAACTCGAAATATGGACTCCTATTAACAGAGTTCTTAATGATTGTAGATAAGACGTCCATGACCAAAACAAAGAGGAAGGGAGACGTAGGATTCCCTTGTCTGAGTCCAATGGTACATTTAAAAAAAACCCACATAGTTCATTGGTGCCTTAGAATCCGATCCGAATCGGGTCGGGTATGACCCACTGACGTGATGGTTTGGGTTTGATTACCCAAACCTTTCCCCGCCTACGGTACTTTCTCCTCCAAGTCCGGTGGTCTTTCAGGTACACACATATACACACATTTACACGCACATTTACACACACATATACACGCACATAAACACGCACAATTACACACACATATACAAGCACATTTACACAAATACACCATCATTTCAGAGAAAAAGAAAAGCCAGCGAGCAAATATGATGTGATCACTTTCTCCTTACTCCGGTAGTCTTTCAGTGCACTATCCAGGTATACACACATATACACGCACATTTACACACAATTATACACACATTTACACACACATATACAAGCACATACACACATTATGTATTTATGCATTTCAATACACGCACTTGGAAATTGAAAATTAAATTTATGATATATATATATATATATATATATATATATATATATATATACTCGCACATATTACTGTGTAAATATGCATAGGTACACATCGATGTTTACACACCTCCTTTATATACACACATATTATATCTAGGTTCAATTTTTATTTGCTTGTATATATATCAGTTTTTTTTCTTATTCTATACTAGCATGAAACATTATATTTGTTTTTGAATTTTCACTTTAGGTTAATGTACTGATTTCTCCTGATTTTATTATATATATATATATATACACACACGCATATATACATTACATGTAATTTTGCATTGATTTTATGTCTTATTAGGTGTTCGTCAGGATCATCATTTTCCTTCCCCGACTTCTCTTCGTTTTGGGATGGTCTCTTTGTAATTTGCAAATAGTAATTTTATTTAGGTTTTTTTATTAAATTATTTGTTTTTCAAAATCTTAGATGCTAATCTTGCATCTGGTGCATCTCGTGTTCGTGCTATTGCTATTCGTGCTCCAATCCCATGCTTATCACACACTAATTATCTTGTTTTTATATTAGGTCGGTCATCTCGATTGATCCTGCATAGGGCAGTAGCAACGGAAATGGTGCGGCAACGGGAGATGGCCCTCCCCACGCAAAAAGGGTGGCCTTGGCAGCAGAAAATGAAATTTGAAAATTTGAAAAAAAAAATTAATATTTTTATTGCTTATCTGGTATAAACTTTATATAATTTGATTTTATTAGGCCGGTCATCTCGATTGATCTGCACAGGGGCAGTAGGAACCAAACCAAAATAGTGCAGAACGGGAGGAGACAACGGGAGGAGACGGCCCTCCCCAGGCAAAAGGGGCGGCATTGGCAGCAGAATATGAAATTTGAAAATTTGAAAAAAAAAAAATTATATTTTTATTAGTCATTAGAATATTTAACATTTTAATAATAAGAAGAATCAAAAAAATTAGTGAACTTTGCTCAGAATCATACCATGGGCCTTAGTAGATGGGCTTAGGGTTGATATTTTATTTTAAAAGACATGAGATTGTTGTACAAGTATGGATTGGTTGGATTGGTTTGGGGTGGGTTTTTAGTTATGACTGATGAAAATAAATGGCATTTGACAAATATTATTTATGGGCTTGAAATCATGTTTTATAAATTATTATAAAATTGTAGTATATACATATATATTCTCGACTCAAAACCAGCCTATAAATTCATGAATTACCGAGTAGGGGTATTCGAGATTGATTAGTTTATTAATTGAATATATAAATTTTGTTTTCCCTTCTTATATAAACAAACATGAACCAAGCCCTTAGTGAACTGAGCTTGCAATATTCATTGAAAACTTGACTAGCTTGCAGCCCTAATTCCCCTCATGTTCATTTCTTATAACTAGAGAGGGAGAAAAAAAAAAAAAAAAATGCACGTAATTAGAAATCATAATGAATAGGTAGTGGTATCTCCCTAACTCTGTATTAAGCATTACAAATACTGTAATATATTAAGACTCACAAAGCAAATTGATGGTTGTACATGCAAAAAGTTTCTGAAAATAGACAAACAGAGCCCTTGCAATGAATATCTAATTTGCAAATGATTGCTATTCTGTAAACTCAAATTCAGGAAGCTAATATTGAGTCAGTCCATAAACATATAGGCTATATAGCAACCCCTCGGGCAGTTATTTATCTTTTAAAATTTTTTATTTTCTTTTTGTTTTCAAAAATTTGTGACTTTAATGTACTGTTCATTGTTTCATTTTATTTGCTTCTTATTTTCGATTTTTTTTTTTTTTTTTTCGCAATCTTATTTTCAATTTAATTGCTATAATTCTGATTGGTCCCATGGTTGAACCGTCAACCCTTAGCCTGGGCACTTTATCTCCAGTTTGATGAATGGTTGCGTTTAAAATATTTATTTTTCTTCACTTTTATATATTATTATTATTATTATTATTATTATTATTTACTAATGACAAAACAAACACACACAACCGTCCTTTTATCCGTTCGGACTCAAACCCCTCCCTCCCTCCCTCTTTAAGAATAGAAGGGTTATACCTTCAAACCAAAGTCCCTTTAATTTTCGGTTTAAAACATTGACATACAAAGAAATTAGACTTTATAAGTACAAATCAGCCGTCATGTAAACATAAATTGCCCCCTATGAGAATAAGATTTGGTTAATTGGTTTAATTGAAAGGGTATGTTGATTTTCCAAATCACGGTTCAACGTGATAGTTCAAAAGGACATAATATAGTTGGATAGTCTTTTGTTCTATACTTGTAATGTTCTATATTTGTATTATTCAATCCAGATGTTTCATTAAGTGTTACAGATTGTTTCAAATGTATAGTGATTTTCTCTTTCGACTTGAAATATGTCATCATATTAGACCATTTGATTTAATGTACGGGCGTAATATTTTTGATTTAATGTACTAGTTTTTGAGTAATGTTATTGCGAGCCACTGTCATGCTCCGCCTATGGAGGTTACACCACGCAGACGACACGCAGGCGTTGGGTAAGACGCTGCATGGCAACTGCATGGCGAGAGGAGTTTCTAGAGTATTTCGAAATTGTTTGGAGTTGTGTGGAATATGTGTAGAATATAATAGAAGTGTGTAGAAGGTTTCAGAGTTCTCCAGAGTTGTGTGGAGTAGTATGGAGAGTTCTAGAATTTTATAGATACTTGTAGATATATACGGAAGTGTGAAGAAAATGGGAAAAGATTCTAGAGAATTGATATCCACCGTCGGTTAGAATGCATCTTAGCCATCCGTTAGGGATGGGGATGCCTATAAATAGGAATAGGACTTCATTTTGTAGCCATCAAGTCCTAAAGTGAGTTTTGAGAGCCTTTGTAGAGAGTTTGAGAGCTAGCCTTGTACAAAGCATTCTTTGTAGTATTAAAAGCGTTATTTCCTTGCCAACTTAAGTGCCTTAGTGTATGTGAAGGTGCAAGCCAAGTGAGGAGAGGGCGAGGGCCACTATAACACTAGTAAACGCACGAGGGGAGTATGTTGGCTAAGGTAGGGCATGGGAGTTAGGTTGACTAAGTACTTGTGAGAGTAGAAGCAACGTCTTGGTGTCGCACAGGAGTAGTTAGAGTGGTGCTGAAACTCTAACCCCGTGACAGTTGATATCAGAGCAGGTTCTTCAAGGGAGCTTTGTTGGAGTAACACATAGCTAGCGAAGAGACCACCATGTTTATATCATGGAACAGAGCTTGGATCGAGGAGAAGCTCGCCACACACTTGGTTTACACGGAGACCAAGTTCAACAGGCTCGAGAGAAAGATTGCGGAGCTCTACAAGTTGATCGACAGCATGGCCATCAAGGCACGAGAGAAGGAAAAGGACTTGGATGATCGAGTAGACGACTTGCGCTTGGAGATTGCCGAATGCAAGAAGGAGTTTTCCCAGGGGCGAGAGGTCGTGGTGAAGCCAAGGAAGAAGAAGGCTCTGGAGCCCAAGGAGTATGTGGGGCAAGGAATACGCGTCAAATTGATAACTTTTTCTGGCACATGGAGCGGTACTTCGAGTGCATGGACATCGAGGACGATGAGGAGAATATGCAGATAGACACTATGTACCTCACGGACACTGCTGCTCTATGGTAGAGGCAGCACTTCACAGGTAGGGGCGCAAAAATGGTTGACACATGGGAGGAGTTCAAGAGGCAATTCTACCCCGAGTGCGTTGAGGACCTCGCCATGATGAACTTAAAGCGCCTAAAGCAGAAGGGCAGCATAAGGGAGTATGTGAAGGAGTACTCCAACTTGATGCTGGAATTCCCATAGATGCCGGAGTGACAACATGTGTGCTTGTTCTTAGATGGGTTGCAGTCTTGGGTGGCCACAGAGTTTAGGAGGAGGGAGGCTAGAGACTTGGCATCCACAATGGCTATAGTGGAGCGCCTTGAAGACTTTATGCGTGATGACAAGAGGGCCACGTCTCCCAGGAGGGACCACGGCAAAGGTGGGGGAGACTGGCGCTCCAAGAAATGAGACTCGCCCAAAGCCAGTGATGTTGAGCACAATGACGAGGAGAAACGCCCACACCATGACAAGAGCAAGGACCATGGAGAGAAGTCTAAGCCTAATGGCAAAGGGGAGCGCTGCGACAAGGGCAAATGGGAGCCGAAGTGCTACTTGTGTGATGCGTCGCACATATTACGACACTGCCCCAACAAGAAGACCATGAATGCCTTTGTGAAGGATAAAGGCAAGGGCAAGATGGACGATGCGGGCAACGATGAAGACAGGTGCATGGGGGCTATGCAGATGCTGAGTAGCATGGTGTATGACACCAAGAGGAAGGGCAAGGTGAAGAAAGTAGCCGGAGTGCGCTATGTGGATGCGCATGTTAGTGGCAAAGTCGTACAAGCATTGGTAGACACGGGCGCCACACACAACTTCATTACCCCGATGGATACGCAGCGACTTAGCTTGGAGATGCGCAAGATATAGGGTTAGATTAAGACCGTTAACTCCGAGGAGGCACGCGTGAGCAGAGTATGCAAAGAGGTGGAGCTATGTATACAAGGGTGGAAGGGCAAGACCAACTTCCTGGTTGCGGAGATGGACGACCACACCATGGTGTTGGGCTGGAATTCATGGATAGGAACAATGTCGCGCCACTACCATGCCTTGGTGCGTTGATGATACTTGGAAGCGAAGAAGGCAAGGCTGCATGCATGGTGACGCTCGTGGACAGAAATGAGAGTCTATAGGTGGTAGTCAATACAATGGAGCTCGTGAGGACCTCATACCTCCCGAATGGCTCATGCACGTTTAGGCCAAGGACATATGCGCAAATGCTGATGACTTGCGAGAGGCTGGGTCAGCTGAAGAAACCATGACAAGGGCATTACGGAAATGGGTGGGGGAGAATGTTACGCCCCGCCTATAGATGTTAGGCCATGCAGCGATACGCAGGCGCTGAGTAGGACGTTGCATGGCAATTGCATAGCGAGAGGAGTTTCTGGAGTCTTCTGGAATTATTTGGAGTTTTGTTGAAGATTCTAAATATGTGTAGAATATTATAGAAGTGTGTGGAAGCTTTTAGAGTTCTCCAGTGTTGTGTAGAGTAGTATGGAGAGTTCTAGAATGTTATAGATACTTGTAAATATATATGGAAGTGTGAAGAAAATGAGAGAAGATTCTAGAGAATCGATCTCCACTGTCGGTTAGAATGCATCTTAACTGTCCATTAGGGATGGAGATGCTTATAAATAGGAGTAGGATATCATTTTGTAGCCATCAAGTCCTAAAGTGAGTATTGAGAGCTTTGTAGAGAGTTTGAGAGCTAGCCTTGTCTAAAACATTCTTTGTAGTAATAAAAGTATTTTTTCCTTGCCAACTTAAATGCCTTAGTGTATGTGAGTATGCAAGCCAAGTGAGGAGAGGGCGAGGGGCACTGCAACATTAGTAAGCGCACGAGGGGAGTGTGTTGGCTAAGGTGGGCACAGGAGTTAGGCTGACCAAGTACTTGCGAGAGTAAAAGTAACGTCTAGGTGCCCACGGGAGTTGCTAAAGTAGTGCTGAAACTCTAAGCCCATGACAGTGCGCTTACGCGCTCCCCATTTTTAGCCGCAGGATGTGGTATTTTTGAGATTAGGGAGCACTAAAGAAATAGAAAGACTTGTTTGGTTTATAATTTTGAAAACAATTCTCAATAATTCTGATAACAGAAAACAGTTTTCAGAGAATAATAAAAAACACTTATCTGAAAATAAGTTTTTTTATAACTAAATTTTAAGGCGGATATGGGACACCGGTACGACACGACATGAATACGGCAATACGACAAATTTTAAACAAATAAGACACACACACGACAATAAAATTATATATATATATATTATAATTTTTTTTTTTTTTATCTCTATTTAAATTAGGCTAATCAAATAATCTCTACTACTCTTAAAAAAAACATAAAATAAAAAACATAAAAATCATAAGTTCAAATTTTATTAAAATATAAATTTATATGGAACATTTGAATAAGTTATCTTTATAACCAAACATATAAGCTTTTTAATTTATTTGTCTTTTTAATACACTTTTTAAGATGATAAAGTAACAATCTTTTATCCCATTTCTCTCTCCAGCCGTG